TTTTTTTCTGTAGGATATTATTATGTTTAATTACATTAATATCATTTGCAAGAGCTCTAACTTGTAATAGAGTTTTATCTAATCTCATCTTATATTCTTTGTTGACTCATTTATATTTTTGTATTACACACAGGCGCACACGCGCACACACACGAAACATAACAGCACTAGACGAGGTTGTCCTAAATTCAGAGTAACAATTTTGAACTACACTGATTACTGCATGGCAAAAATTTTTAGAAATGGAAAGACTCTTCTTGAATCAATGATCATGCATTAGTCTTAAATATGGTTGTTGTTGATTAAGAGCTGGGGTTAAGGTTAAGATGGTATGTGACCATGCTGGTTTGCTGCATAACCCTTTCTTGGAGCTGTTTTTCAGATGTTCATTTTATTTATAGTTTCTTAATCTAATCATCCTGGGCCAAGATAACTAAGTTATAACCTCTACCGTCCTTGGATATTACTGTTTTCTTTTTTCTTCTTCTTCTTTGCTCCTCTAGTATGTTTGTAGTCTTTTCAACTTATATGCAGATAACAGCGCCATACCTGTTAGGAAGTCTATATATTCTTGTGTTCTAAAGGGAACTTTTAGTTTTGTATAATATAGTAGTTAAGAAATTACAGATTTGTTACTTTTCTCATGGACTACGACGTGTTTCTGTTCCTGTAATTTATATTTAGGCTGATGTTCTAAAAGCGACACTGGCAACAGATGCAGTTATAGGGACCACAGTGAGTGTTTTCTTTTACCTGTTCCCTGTGCAATAGATTCGATGCATATATGCTTCTTTTGAAAATATTATCTGTTCTTCTCAGTAAATTGAACCGTGATATTCTCATTGAATGGTTTACAACACTTTCAAGGATATACTTTGCCCCAATTGAAAGATGGATGCCTACTATAAACTGGAGATATGCAGATATACTTCCTTTCTCCTTGTGGTTTTCATTATACTTGCATTTTACCACTACTCCACCAAACCATGGCATGCTTCCAAGACCGCCCTTATTCGTTCCATATCTTACCCTTTTTCCTCGACCAGATTAGAAACACACACTCTTTTTATGTTTCAAGTGTGTTATGTTGAACTGTGTATCTCTTGTATTGTGTCCCAGGGAAGTATCAATACACCTGGTGGTGGATATGTTTTGCTGCATCACATGATGGGAGAAACTGATGGTGAACGTGGAATTTGGTCGTGAGTATCTCTTTAAAGATGGTTAAAGCATACTGAGGGTGCTCGTAATTGGTTTCAATACATGAACTTTCCTTGTCTTCTGTTTGTGTTCATTTGTTAAGGTTTATTATTGTTCTTCACTTGTCTGTTTGTTCAGGAAGGCCAGGAAATTCTACTAGCAGAAATCATCACCTGTCTGACAACTATTAATTGATCTCGAATGATAGACAGGCTTGAGTCCTGAATAATTAGACCTTTTCCTTATACATTCATGTTGTTCACTTGAGTGGAAATAAAAGAAAGAAAATGCACTATTATCCTTTCTGTTAGCTGTGTGGATTCAGTCTTCTCTTAGTTTTAAGTAACAATTTTCAGGTATGTTGAGGGTGGAATGGGATCTGTGTCCTTGGCCATTTCTAATGCTGCTAGAGAAGCTGGTGCTACTATAATTACTGAGGCTGAAGTAAGTTTATGCAGACTGATCATGATAAGACTGCATGTCTCTGTGTGTATAAGATATCAGATACCTGATTTATACTTTATGTTGTTTCCTTTGAAATACACACGTGTCTACTCCACTTGACCTTTGCACTATTAGGAGAATCGGACAAATGAAATATGTTATAGTTCTGGTGTGCTAAGAATTTTGTTATTAGGTTTAAAAAGTTCTCTGTTGTGCGCGGTAGGTATCCAAATTGATGATAGAGGATTCGGGCAGAGTCTCTGGGGTAAGGTTGCTCAAATTGAACTTTTGGTCGACTATTAAAATTAAAAACCCCAACTTAGATATTTGGCACATGGATTTGAGTTGTTTAGGTTTTGCTGGCTGATGGTACCAAAGTATGCTCTTCTGTTGTTTTATCAAATGCAACCCCGTACAAAACGTTCGTGGTAAGTGCCAAGTCTATTCTTCTGCAAATGTTCAAACGTCAATATATTATGTAGGAGAATTTTAAAAATTAGGATTATCAAATACAAGCATGCGTATGGTTTTGAATACTGACGATAATCATTTACCAACACAGGATTTCGTACCACATGATGTCCTTCCTGACGGTTTTCTTGGTGCTGTCAAGAACTCTGATTACAGCTCTGTAAGCTGGTCCAATGATTAGTAATCATCTATGTGTCTGCTACCTTATAAAATTGATGACCATGCACATTGACAATATTAAGAAGCATCATTGTCTTCTAATATAGCAATTTTATCAACATCAATAATTCAAAATTTTTATGACATAGTCCAAATGGCAGTTCCATTTTATGCAAGTTTGTTTTCTAAAACTTTGCTTTTGGCCCTCTTCAAATCATTTTATCAGTTTCCTAAAACGGTTTATATGTAACTTTGTTTGCAAAGCTCAACCAAAAATTGAACAAGTCATTACTTACTGGGCAGGCAACTACCAAAATTAATCTGGCGGTTGACAAATTGCCACAGTTTCATTGCTGCAAGTTGAATGGCTCTGGGGCCGGTCCTCAGCATATGGGCACTATTCATATTGGCTGTGAGAGGTATTTCTCAATGAATTTATACCTGCTGCTGTTTTAAGTTGTTTGCATATAGTTAAACTCATTATTTGATTCTGGGTAAAGTCAGTCATCAAATAACCCCCCAAGCTAGTCAGTGTAAACTCTTGTAGTCAAGCAAATTCATTTTTCTGGCCAAAGCTAGTCAAAATAACCACAACGGTTAAGTAGGTGTACATAACATCTTATTGACGACCCTTCAGCTAAAGCAGCCTACTGGGATAAGGGTGGATCTACTAAAATAACAAATTGCCATTGCTTCTGAAACTCGAAAACTGATGTGTTTATGAACCGAATTGATATTAAAGATCACTGTCTGGAGAAACATAGCATCGGATATGTCTCAAGCTCTTAAATGTATTCGAGTTCCATTTTGGTAAGTTGGGCTTACAATCCCCGTTATTCCGAAACTGTGTGCAAATGACCTCCTGGGTCAGAACAGTTACTGTGAAATCTTCATTAGTAAATTGTTTATCCACACATTTTTTACATGTGACAGCAACTAAAAGTCATGAAAGATTTTTGGGATGGAGTGTGAAATCAATACTTCATGTATGTTTCTCTGGCTTTTCAATTACACTACTTTACAAGAAACATGTATCCATTAATTTATTTATTTTTTGTTAGTTGAGTATTGGTAAATGGGCTTGTATAAAACTCATTCCCGAAAGCTAGCTCTAAGGGCCACACACTTGTAAACATAACAGCCCGATAACTAACTAATGTGAGACAAACAAAACATATAGCCAGTATTTGATTTTTTTTTTTTTTCTTTCGCTCCGTCTCAAATCAGTATGGAGGAGATCGACTCTGCATGTCGGGATTATTTGAATGCAATGCCATCTCGAAGGCCTATAATTGAGATGACAATTCCTTCCGCATTGGATAATACTATTTCTCCACCTGGTACTGGAATGTTCTTACACCTTTCATATATTCGTTTTCCTAGGACAATAGTTTTGTTTTCACTTTTCTGGTTACTTATTTTCATCCGGCTACCATTCATCAATTTTTGTGCCAGTGTTATTAACGGCGGGTGGCGGTAAATGGCGTTTAGCCAAAAGTCCGCCATAGCGTCCTATGGTGCCGCCATAACCACCAGCCTTCACAAATTTAGCCTGACGGATTGTAAAAATCGGCCACACCATACCGTCATTTGATAACACTGTATTGTGCAATATGGTGATCGAGAATGCTTTTGAGTGGTGTTTGGAAAGAATAGATTTTTTTTTTTTTTTCAAAGGGAACTGTTAATAAATCTTATATAATGGTGTTTATTGGTTCTGCTTTTAGTAACTGATGAAAGGACATGGACTTCACGATGAAGTTGTTTAGACTGTTTTCGCCAGATCGCTAGTAATAGCAGCATTAATTGATCTCCATTTGCTACTTCAAGGAGTTGATTTTTTATGTTATTTACCTACTTTGGCAAATAAATTACTTGAGTAATTCTCCACAGGGAAGCATGTGATTAATCTATTTATTCAGTACACACCTTATAAACCTAATGAAGGAAGCTGGGAAGATCCTGAATACAGAGTGAGTGGACTCTCTCTCTCTCTCTCTCTCTCTCTCTCTCTCTCTCTCTCTCTCTCTCTCTCTCTCTCAGTGTGTGTGTGTGTGTGTGTCTGTGCGTGTGCGCTTGTGTCTCTTATGACTACGTTAACACTCTGCTTGCTGGTCAAATGTTTCCGAATGCTGAAATTTTGGCACAGAAATCATTTGCTCAAAGATGCTTTGATCTTATTGAAGAATATGCCCCGGGTTTTAACTCATCAATTATTGGCTATGACATGTTGACTCCACCAGACCTCGAAAAAGATTTTGGTTTAACAGGTAAATGCGTTGTTTTTCAGGAAATTAACTGGATAGTTATACGACCATATGTATAAGTAGTTGCTTCAGCAGGTTCTAATTTCCACATGAACATTCTAGGATGTTGTTCTGAATTTGTGAGTCAGCACTGTGTCTATTGCCTTGTAGTTATAAAACCAGTAATTTTTGAAGTATGCATCTTGATATCATGATATAGCATTTAGAATATTGACCTTTTCCTTTTTTTTTTAGTTACTTCAACTTGCTGCACTTATACTAGGTTTTTTTGTGCTATGTTATTCCAACTGTAAAGACCACTGAACATATAATAGGTGACGCGATAGCTCCTGTTGGCGATTTCCATTTGCTGTTCTTTTTCCACTGTTAAAACATAATAAACATATCCAGCACGTGAGATTTCCACTTGAAATCTGCTCCATGTGTTTTTGTTGGTACTTGGTACTGATATCCGCTATTCCCGACACTGACAGGAGGTAATATCTTTCATGGTGCTATGAGATTAGACTCCTTGTTTCTCATGCGGCCTGTGAGCGGATGGTAATTTTTTCGTTTTCCAGGTTGAGGGAGGGTCTTGTTGTTATGACTGGAAAAAGAAGTTCAAAATTAATGATAATGTTGTATTTCCGTTGATGTAGGTCAAACTACAGGACACCATTAAAAGGCCTGTATCTGTGTGGGAGTGGAGCTCATCCAGGGGGCGGGGTTATGGGTGCCCCAGGACGTAATGCTGCGCGTGTGGTCATACAAGATGTTAACGAGTCTACCGGTTAGACAGAGCTCTCAAATTCTGCTAATTATGTTGTGCAATGCTAGATTTAGGTCCAGAAAGTTTATATAAATAAATGTAGCAGCTGACTGTTATGTTCCATGTGACCACCAACAGTGTGAGATGCAGAAAAGCTCAGATGGGCTCGCATAATATGTGCTGTGACTTTCGTCATCTCTAGCGTGTAATTGTGAGCCTTTGGCTACAGGCTTCATATTCTATGGAAGTCGAACTCTCAAGGAAACAAAGTGAACTATATAGTTTTCCCGTTGGGATAATCCCAACGAAAACGCAACTTCCTATCTTCTTGTTGCAGATGGCAACTTGAACAAATAAAATATTAGTGGCTGTCAGTTTGCACGATAGTTTGCACGATTCCAGCTGGTTGGATTAAATACTTGGAATTGTCGGTCACTCACCATTTTTAATCATTTTCACAATATTTTTTTTTTTTCTTTTTCATCTACAATCTTGTCATGCAGGGAACGGAAAAAAGAAAAAAAAAAAAGAATCTACCTGTCTACCTTGACGTTATCTTAATTACAACATCACTTATACTTTGTCCAAAATAACTGCAGCTTTGGTGTATTAGGGTTGAATGAATGAAAGTAAATAAAATGAGAAGTATTTATACTTTGTCCAAAATAACTAAAAGTGCTACTTGTTTTCTAGCGACTTGCACAAATGTTAAAGTTACAAAAGATAGAATGTGAAAGCACTATACCTAATATATATAGAAGCAGGAACTCTGAACTGTAACAAGATGGGAAGCCATATAATAAAATGGGAAAATGATTAGCACAAGAGATGAGCCAACTTTGAGAAGTACCTTGTCGCCATGGAATAATGCAATCTATACAGTAAGTGAAACGGAGATTTCAGTTAAGTCACATGCTAGGCCAAATCGACATTATAGGTAACACGAAACAGACACACATGGAGGATATCACTTCGCAAGTCGACTCAGAAGAACATATTACACTTCATTCACCACATTCCAAAAGAAAGTCCATTATTCTTGTGTTTAATCGTCTGTGCCACTATCATCATTGCATGAGCATGACTACATATTTTGACACTATGCTAGTTTATGTGGATTATCAAAGGGCATGTAATGGACATACTGAGGTAGATAATGAAACACTTTGTTGAGATATATAGAGAAGTAAGAGGACTCGGCTCCCCCCAAATAAACGTACTTATAGGTTTTACATTCTCTCAAACACTTTTATCACCAAAAATTCCGATAAGCTTAGATGGATTTCCTCATCACATTCTTATATTGAACCATACACAGGCTGAGGCGGACCAATGTTTAGTACCCAGGCCTGCCCCGCTCATAAAATGGGGAGGACATGGCCCATCCTATTTTGAATACGGGGCAGGACCGACTTGCCCCAAAATTATTTGGGCCAATCTGGGCATTTTTTCCCAAAAAAAAAAAAAGAATTTATCAGAGTATTTTGACCATGCGGGTAGCTCGATTAGACAATAGTCAACTAAATGAAAAACATGTCGAAAAAGAGGTCATCACAGTTCAGATCAGACTATAATACATATTTTAATCAAGCATGTAAATTCATGAGGCGATGTCTTGAACCAACCAATCAAACCCCTCAAGCAGTCCATCCCCAGTATAGGCACTGCATCCATCAATTTTCCAGTGTCGGCTCTTATCCATGCCTTCCAAGTTGAGTACCTGATGTAGAAAACATAATCTTTAATTCGAGTTACAGAATTGATTAGAAAAAACAGATATCCTTACTTTAATCAAATAAACTCATTCCACGCCCTCTTGATAAGAATTGGGACAACATATGAGAATCAAATGTGTCCCATGAATTGGGACAACATAAAACAATCAATGTGTCACATGACTCAACCTAATTCTACTACTACAAAAAAAAATTATGGTCAAGCACCAAAAACTACCTTAGAGCATCTCTAGTGTATGAGTGTCAGATGTTAAAATTTCCATGCCACATGGCAATAATTAATTGGATTGTGATTTTCTATAACATCATTGTTGACAATGTAGAATATTGTTGACTTGTTCGATTTCTGTGGAAAATGATGAGTGAAGACTGATCGTGCATGGCTTCCTTTTTAAGCATGCAGTCTGTTTTGTTTCTTTATTATGTAAAAGTGTCGAACACTTTTAAAAGCGCATCTTTGCTACTTAATATCTGTTTTAGTTTTTTAGTTCGCACGTGTCGGCTTACACGTGCTTCTTTGTAGCTGGTTCAGGTTTTATATTTTCCCTCAGCTCAGCTAAGACTTCTTCTTCTGTAATTTTTCGATTAAAGAGCTTGAAGCTCCATGAAAATGGTGTTTTGATATTTTGAGTTTTATCTGCAAGTTTACATATCAATTTACATTATCTCAAATCTACATGGTATCTAGAGCGGGTTAATCCATGGCGCACAACAGTGACGGTCGCGAGCCGATAGGAAGAGGCATTTACACTCGCGATATAGATCCACTCTCTCTTCATGGATCAGACCACCCTGGGATGGTCCTTGTCACCAATCCTCTAAATGGAGCTAATTACCTTCACTGGAGCAGAGCGATGAAGCTTGCGTTGAGCGCCAAGTCGAAACTTAGCTTCATCAATGGCACGGTGCAAATTCCAGATCCAGGCTCAGAAGAACACGATCAATACCAAAAGGTGGAATCTATGGTAATCTCCTGGATCCTTAACTGTATCTCAAGGGAAATTGTAGAAGCTTTCATGTATGTCAAAAGTGCAAAACAATTATGGGAAGAATTGGCTGAAAGGTATGGTGAAACCAATGGACCGTTAAGGTATCAGTTACAGAAGGAAATTGCTACATTTTCACAAGGATCCTTATCTGTTACTGCATACTACACAAAGCTTAAATGTTTATGGGATGAATTTTCCTGCCTTGTGTCTTTACCTGATTGCACTTGTGGAACTGGAAAGGCTTTTGCAGCCTTAGATATGGAGATAAAGCTCATGCAATTTCTTATGGGTTTAAATGAAATTTTTGAACCAGTCAAAAATCAAATTAAGTTGCTAGAACCCTTATCAACCATAAATAGGGCATATTCTATGATTTTGAAAGTGGAGAAGCAGAAAAGTCTCACTACAGGAATGAACTTATTTGAGAACTCAGCTATGATGGTGAAAGGTAGCTTTGGTAGAGGTACAGGGAGAGGACAAAATTTTGGCCGTGGCAATGGAGGAAGAAACTTTACAGGACAACAAAACAATTATGTGGAGAGAGGAAGGTTTGGTCAAAGGCTATCAAAAGAAGAGAGAGCAAAGTTGTTCTGTACTCATTGTAAATATAATGGCCATGATGTTCAAGGCTGTTTTAAACTAAATGGTTACCCAGAATGGTTCAAGGAGTTAAGAGAAAAAAGGCAGAACCAAATGGCTAACATGGTAGAAAGTGATGAATCCTCAAAGGCTGATTCAGAAACTAAATCTCAACAAAGTGAATCTTCAACAGACATTGGTCTTCTTATACAAAGGGAAGTGGCTAAATATATGTCTGGACAACACAATGTGGAAGCCCATACTTTCTCTCATTTTGCTGAGCTAACAGATGAAGCTGAAGATTATGCATTCTCACTAACAAACAAGCTAGCAAGAGGGAGCTGGATTATAGATACAGGTGCAAGCAAACACATTTGTTGTGATGGGAGTTTGACTTACAAAAAATCAATGGTGACAAATCCTGTCATAGTGAACTTGCCAGATGGTTCCAAGGTAAAGGTAACACAGATGGGAGAGGTGTACTTTGACAATAGAATCATTCTTAAGGATGTGTTGTTGATACCAGAATTCAAGTATAACCTACTGTCAGTGGGACAGTTGGTTGAAAACAATGGCCTCAGTTTCTCTTTTACAAACAAGGAATGCACACTGAAGGATGAAAAGAAAAATGAGATAATTGCAGTAGGGAAGGCAATGGGAGGCTTATATGTCATAGAAACCAATGGACTATATGCTAACTCAGCTAGAGATGAGGTCTCTACTAACAATGAGCTGGTTTTATGGCACAAGAGACTTGGACACAGATCAATTCATTGTTTGAAGCATTTGGGATTTATAAAAGGGGATGTTTCAAAGGAGAAGCTGGGAGTTTGTGAAGTTTGTCACAAATCAAAACAACCAAGACTACCCTTTCCTCTCAGCCACATACAAAGTAAAGAGAGATTTGAACTTATACATGTGGATGTCTGGGGTCCACACCATGAAGAATCAATACTTAACACATCCTACATGCTCACAATAGTGGATGATTTCACTAGAGCTACTTGGATCTATTTGATGAAGTACAAGTCTGAAACAATCATTAGTCTGAGATCATTTTTTAAGATGGTTGAAGTTCAATTCAATGTAAAGATAAAAAAACTGAGGACAGACAATGGCAGTGAGTTCATCAACAAGGAAATGGAGACTTTTCTGAAGGAAAATGGAGTTAACCATCAAAAGACATGTCCATATACCCCACAACAGAATGGGGTTGTGGAGAGAAAGCACAGGTCTATTCTTGAAGTGGCAAGATCACTCTCTTTTCAAGCTAACCTGCCTAAGAAACTATGGCCCTATAGTTTACTGGCTGCAGTGCAAATAATCAATACTTTGCCAAGTGAGAAGCTGGGGTGGAAATCCCCTTATGAACTATTACATGCAGTCACACCTTCATATGAGAAATTCAGAACTTTTGGTTGTTTGTGCTTTGCAAGTAAACTCGATCCCTACAGAAGGAAATTTGATGAGAGGGCAGTGGAATGTGCATTCTTGGGATATGTGTCAGGGACAAAAGGGTATAGAGTCTATGATCTGGAAACTAAAAGGGTTTTCATCACAAGAGATGTTGTGTTTTATGAACAGAAATTTCCATTTCACAAGAGCAAAGTCACTGATGACTTGCCTCTACCAAACAATCCAGCACATGTGGTTGTTGAAGAGGATGAGAGGTTTTATGAGCAATCTGCTGACCCAAACACTCAACAGCTTATCTCTCATCCTTCACCTATCATCACAGAAAGGAAAAGTGGGAGAATAAGGAGACCACCATGTTGGATGTCAGACTACATTGTTGAGACACAAAGTGATGATGAAGCTAACAGTTTCTTCTCCATTTTA